GCTTGGGTGGGTTCAGAGAGGAATACAAAGGAGAAGAGTGGGTACCCCCCCCCTTTCCCAAGCCCATTTACTCTTCACATTGTTGTTATTACTAGCATTTCTGGGTATTACTATCACTAATATCACTACTATTACTACTACTACTACTACTACTACTCCTACTACTACTACCAGGAAGATGAAGCTGCATCATTCAATCCATGCTTGTCTGCAGGTTACAGAAATTCTGGCAATATCCGGCATACGCAAGCCGTGGCAGATATTCTGGGACTACCTGCAGATGCAGGCGGAAGATTCTCAATCCCAGGAGTTGCGGAGGGCCTTGCCGCTCGGCATTTCAATCTGGCCTCCGTGTTTGTCTTAAGTCTGCTTCTTGAATTGTGTGGCAGAGTACATGCGCTGGCTACGTAGCTAAGGAGAGATCTGCCACATGGAGAGCGCGAGAGTCTCTATGCTTGCCTGCCTGGCACGAGTCGAGATGAGTTTGCGCTCCTGTCCTTACAGGAGTTGGCCAGCGTCATGAGCTACAGCATGCAGCATAGAACGGAGTCCAGTTACCCTGCCTGGTCATCTCTGTCACGCGGGACCAAGATGTCGTACTGGCCGGCAGACGTCACTCAGGTTCTGCGCGCGTGCCAAGAGGAAGCGTGGGTTGTGCACTTCAGGGCACATGGGCGGGAAGATCTCTTAGCTCCAGATGCAGTCACGCCTGCGTCTCCTACTTCAAAGCAAGAGGCTGTGCTCCGTGCGGCTTCTGCAAATGCAATGCCGTCAGCCGCGTCAGAGAAGTCAAAGAATTCAGAGACTGCCGAGCGGAGTATGCAGAGCGTGAAGCTAGAGCCAGGAAAGCCCCAGCCGACTGCAGCTCCGATTGATCCCTCCATCACTGCCATCGCACCACGTGAGCTGGAGCGTATTTTGGTCAAGGGTTCAGTCTACAGGCCCTTTACCAAGGAACTCTGTGACCTGGCGCAATTGGTTCGGGGTCTTGTGGCCACTTTCCGTCTGTGGGCCAAGAATAATTGGTCCAGCCGCATCGCCTTAGTGAATGGTGGCAACGAGCAGTATGCACACCTGCTAGATCGCCAGCTGCAAGCTAGCCTGCTGTTCACCATCGTGTACTCTTCCACGCACTGGGCTCTTCTAGTCATTTTTCGTCCTGCAGATGGGCCACCGGAGGCATGCTTGTATGATGGGCGGGCGTGTGCAGTCTGCCGCGACATGGCGACAGCGTTCTTGTGCCATGTTGAGACGAGTGCATGGCTGCAGGGCAGCAGCCGTTCCAATATTTCCAATCATTCCAAGCCTCTGGCTGCCCGCATGGTGAGGGCCGAGACAGCCTTGCAATCTGATGCATGGAGTTGCGGGCATCGGGTTGTAATCACGGCTGACCACGTGTTGGCCGCCTTATCCCAGGATGGCCACTTGCCCGTGAAAATCAGCGGGCCGACTGATGAGGAGGTGTCGCAACTCCTTCGCACAGCGGCCCGGTGCGAGAAAGCCAAGCTAGAGCAGAACACGCAGAAGGTGAAGCTGGAGCCACGCATGCCTGGCAGCAGCTCACAGGTGCCACCCATGTTACCCCCAGAGCCTGAGCATCCCAAGCGCAGGGATGGTGATGATGGCGTAGACGAGGAAGAGGCCACCGATGCCACGTTCTCAAAGCTGACGGATGTGCTGACTTCATCGTCTGCGCCAAGTAGCGATGCTCCTACAAATCCTACAACACCTAAGAGGCGCAAGACCAATGCGTGCTTCATGGACCGTTCTGGAAGCAAGTCAGAAGCAGAGCCTCTGACACCGCCGGCTGTAAGCCCGCTAGTGCACAAGGTGCGCAGACAGGCAGCAAGGAAGCAGCCTCATCCTCAAGATGCTGAAGGCAAGAAGGAAGCCCCAGCGTCCAAGCGGCCGAAGCTAAGTGCAGACGGGTGCCCTGCGCCTCAACTGAAAGCGCTGTCATGTCACTTGTATTTCCAGCGCTGTGCTGCCGCTGCTGCCACTGCAAGTAAGCTAAGGTCCAACATCGAGAATTCCAGAAGCAGCACCAGAATTCGGGCGTGGTGGCCGTGAAGGGCCACTGGCAGTTCTTCCTCTCTTGCATGCAGGACATGTTTTTAGCTGTGCGGTTGATTCGGCTGCAATATGTGGCCGGATGAGTTCTCATGGTTCTCTGCAATCTCTGCAGGACAGCAGCTTGATCCTCACGTGTCCAGTGTGTATCGAGTTGGCAGCACCACACCGTGCACCTCAAGCAGTTACCCCATCCCCGGCTGCCATTGCTGCCCCAGATGACCAGGATGATGCGCCGGCTCAGGAAGACACGGCCATGCCAGGTCCCCGAAAGAGAGGCCGTCCCAGAAAGGATGAAGCAGCTTGCGAACGCTGGAGCTTATCTCGCTGGGTGGCCAAATGCAGGTCAACCATTTACATGCAGACCTCCAAGTCCAACGACAAGTCTGCGACGTATTTCTGTCGGTGTCGGGCGTGCCAAAAGGAGATAAAATTTGGCACGCAAACCTGCGAGGTCAGAGTGCTGAAGCATGAGACGTACAAAACACACGTGCAGGGTCTGAAGCGGCTGTGTGGCCCAGGTGATGGGGCAGTTCAGAATACTGAGATTCCTTCCGAAAGCTCTAGCACGCAGCAGGCATGCCCCGGTGTGCTAGCATCCAGGCACGTGCTTGCGACCTCCATCGCCCTGTTTGTTCAGCACGGGCAACCTCGTTTGAAGTATGCTCCGGGCGAGACGGATCCCCTGTCTTGCGTAACCTTCGAGCCCCTGCCTGAGGACATAGCGATCCGCAGCAAGCAATGCAAAGGGCGCTTACAGGGTGCCACCGCGTGCTCAGAGTGCATGGGCGCTGCCAAAGGAAGGAAACTGAAGGAGGCTATAGCCAGAATGGCTTACATGGTGGACCTTTGCATGTTGACCTTCAAATGCTTCCATTCCTCAGCTGACGAGCTGCAACGATTCAAGGAGGAGCTGCGTGAGAGGGACTATCAAGATGCAAACCTGGCTGGGCAAGACTTGGACCGACTCTTACGTCCCACAAACAAGCTGGAAGTATGTCAGGCCATCTGTGCGAAACTTGATCACACGCCTGCGTGGCGTATCACCCCTTCCGTGCAGCAGCTCTGGAATTGCTGGCTCATGCGGCCACAGAGGCACCATGGCACAAGCGTGGAGGCAGAGGCCTACGGCTGTCTGGTTCAGGGAATGACAGATGCAGTTGCCAGCGGGAAGGCCAAGGAATTTGACCTTGTCCTTGCCTCACGTGTCGCAGCGGGGGCCTTAAGGTCGGACGTCCTGGTCGAGTCACTATGCACTTCGTTCCTTGCAAAACTCAGAGCTGGTCTCAGCGATAGTCGCCGGAGAACGACATCTGAGTTTGCTAACTACCCCGTCCTTGCCGAGTCGCTGGGCACGTTAGGCAAACACCAAGAACTCTCTTCCCTGTTGCGCTCATTCTGCGTCAACCCGCGCAACATGCCCGCCATCTCGCTTGTGAGTGAGCGGTGCCCAGAGCCATTTGTGTCAGTGAATCAGCCTGCGAGACTTCGTGAGGGCTACATGCGTGCATTGAGCTTGTTGAAAGCCGGTGGCACTCGGCCACACCTCATTTGTGATGAGACAACCTGGGCAGCAGATTGGAGTCAGGTCCGCAATGTCACGAGAGACAGTGAGGGCAATCTAGTTGACAGGTTTGTTGGAGGCGTGTGGCGCCGGGAACCTGAGGAGGATATGAGCCTCCTCGACCCTGACGAGGGACACAGTGCAAGCACTCTTCCTGCTGAGAAGCTGGCCAAGATGGCGCTACATGTCGCAGTTCAAAGAGCCGACTCCACTCGCCACCTCTTCGACATTTGCGTGCTCCCAAGGGGTCCCGGCGTCGGGTCAGCTGAGGACACCCTAGATGTGGTTGCCCAAATCTTCCATGAGTGCACGGAGGCAGCTGGTGTGGCCCCGAATGGCATGGCATTTGATGGTGGCGCCAACAATGTGAGATTGTTGCAGTTGTTTGTGGGACAGCTGGACAACATGCGCAGCCTGCCATTCTTCAAGGAGTGTTCCATTCAGCAGCTTGACCTGCCATTCTGGGGCTTCTCCTTCTTGAAGTACAAGGAGGAAGTTCTGGTTGCGTCGAATGGAGCGTTCCACTGGCAGAAACGGTACTCCTTAGCTCACCTTTCAGGGTGCCGGAAGATCCTTCATGGATCCGTGTGGATAGACTTGAGCTGTGAATTGGGTCATGGGCTCCCCCACGCAAGCTACTTGGCGTCGGACGTGCAATCGGATGTTGCTGCTGCCCAGCGGATGTCTCCGCCATATATTGGTAAAGACTGGTGCAGCCTTGCGGTCAATCTACACAGCATGCTCGGAGGCATCATCTGCAGCTGCACGACAGCCAGTACAGGGTTCAGCAGTGAGGATGTCTGCCTGAACGCTATGACTGGGTACTACATGCTCTTGCTTCATCGGGCAGAAGCCGGCCGTCGATGGCCCGAGAGTCTCGGTCTGATGTAGTGTCCTGGAAATGCTTGACTCGGGGGTCTAGTGTCTGCTGGCATTGCTGGCATGTCAACTGAGGTCTGGCGTGCGCAATCGTCATGCCCTTGCAGACGTAACGATCCGCAACGGCATGATGCTGTGCCACTTCACTGTGGTATCGATGATGCCAGGCGGCCTGGAACCACGATTCCTCCAAGAATTGGGCATAGAACATCACTTCGGCCGTCTGAAGGCTCCTTTTCGAGGCCAGCCAAGCCTCAAGGACTTCCTCCTTGGTTGCCGGTTGCTGAGTGGCCAACAGGCGAAACAGCTGGAGTCCATGAGTGCTGCTGCATTGAAGCAAACAGTGCTGGAGAGACCGCCAATCGAGATTTCTGCCATGAAGAAACTTGCGCGCAAAGCCCTCTCCGCAGCACTGCAATGGCAGGCCAGCATTACCTTGGACATGTCAACGGCAGAAACATGGGTGGATTAGAAGTTTTTTTTTCACTGCCTGAACCCTTATCCCTTTGTATTCCTTGTGCACCATAATAACATCAGCTTATTCAGCTTCTATAGATCCAAGAAACACCAGTCAGGAACTGTATGACAATCTGCGCCAGTTCTGCAATCGGGAAGCGCCGGCTTTCCTCGGTGATGTTGTTGCTGACGGCAAGTTTGACTTGCTGGACTTGACGCCGGATGCCGCTGAGATCTTGGAAGCTGAGCCCGCTGAGGGGTCGCAGAGACAACAGGCGTCTTGGCAGATGCTCCATGCTGTGCAGGACCGTGCCCAGGTGATCGAAGAGATTGCTGATTTGGAGCGAGGTGCAGATGGTGCAGCTGCGTCAGCTGCAAGCTCTGATGACCACAGCAAGCGGCCAGCTGAGGCAGATGAGGTACCTGGCAATCCTGGCAATCTTGTGGCCGAGGAGGGATGCCCTGAAATTCCCACTACGCTGATACATGTTCTCAAGTCGGCCATAGCGTCCGGCGGTGCAGAGTTTGCCCTCGGAGAGTCCACTGGCTTGGGGCAGGCGGCCCTGCTGAAGAGGCTCGTGCGTTTGGGGCCAAGCATCCGGGCCTTCGTGAGAAACGCGAGGCTACAGGAAGCCTTGCTGTCTGCAGCCACTCTCAATGGTTGCCGTGAGCCGTTGAGCCCATGGAATCGGCGGGAACACGAACTTGCTGTTGCGCGGCGAGCAGTTGCTGTGAACCATGCGCGCCTGAGTCGCGCGCAGGCGTGGCATCACGCGCAGCAGGCCCTCTCCAAATCCATCCAGCCGCTCAACAGCAAAGCATCTGCTTCCGACGCTGGCATGCTCGCGCCCTCGGGGTACTTTCCACTGGGTGTTGCTGAGAATCCTCAAGTGGTTGCCTTCGCAGTGGATGGCACGAAGGCCAAGATTGACGTCGGGGTTGTTCTCTCGGCTTACCGAGGAACAGTGGTGAGAAAAAAAGTGAACATCGTTCGCACAGCCAGGCCTTTTCCTGGCGAGCTGCCTGCTGAGTCCACAAAACTGCTTCACCTTGCCATGTGTGTGTTTGATGCGGAGCACAATGAGTTCACCACCTCAGTCCTTGAACCATGCGTGCAGGCCGAGCCTGTCAATTGTGTTTACGGCCAGCTAGCCGTGGCAGCTTCAAAAGCTTCCGCTACAAGGCTCCACTTCCGTTTGACGCCAGCCGCGCTTGAGTCCTTGCGCATTCTGCGGGACAAGGGCCGCCCTCCCATCAATCCAATGGCAGATGTTCCAGAGAATCCAGCGGAGGAAGGAGACATGGGCAACAAAGGGGCTGAATTGGATGGCAGCACCCTTCAATTCAACGAGTGGTCGTTCATGCGAGCTGGCCTGCCGGCCCAGTGCAAGAAGTTTCTGGTGGGCTTGGAGGCTCTCTACCGCAGTAAGGGTTGGCCATTCCTTGAGCAGGGAAGCAACATGGTTCGCATCTCTGAGAAGCAAGTGGAGCCATGGGACCAGCTCATGGAGAGGGTGCCAGGCTACTTCAACACAGAATTTTCTGCTTACCAGGGGCACCGCTTCAGCCGTGCTGTGCACGCCAAGTTCCAATCCCTCGTGCCGACAAGCTACTCAGCTCATTTTATGTGCAGTGCATGTTGGCTCAGACGTGTCACGTGGGACAAGCGTGCAGCCAAGGTGCAGATTCCGTGAAGGTGCTGAAAAAGTTTCTGGGCATCGTTTCACAAGTAGCTCCCAAGGTTATTGACTTGAGAGTTTGACGAAGCGGCGAGGGGCGTCGCTCAGAGACTTGGATCTCTTGGCTCTTGGGTGCAAAAAAAGGGACGGCTCTGAATGCTTTGTTTGCTCTGTCTCTCTTGACAGCAGTTTTGCAACAAGAGCATGTGATGCATATTGTATACTACCAAAGCATAACCATAGCCTGGCAGCTGCACAGGTGTATCAGGTGTTAGAATCCCCCCCCCCCTCATCAAGAGGTCCCCCCACCATAATAGGCGGCGCCTATTTTTGTTCACCCCCCCAGACCCCCCCCCCCCTAGGTAGGGGGAATTATGAGCGACTATTCCACAATGGGGCCTCATGAGCGACTACTGAAGAATTATGCCTTTTTAGGGGCTATTCCTACACAGAGCCTTGTTATGGGAACTACTCCAAAACAGGGCGGGCTTCAAACATTCTTCTGTTTACGGCCTGATGTTATTCCGTGCCGGGAAATCTTCGCTCTCTTCCGCGGCTTTTTAATATTTGGTTATTTTTCTGCAAGGCCGAGCATCTTGCATCTCTAGATTATGGGACGGCGGCGTCTGTGCATTTGAAGTTTTTCCGTGCTGTATCAGAAGTGGCTTGACAGTGTTCGGAGGAACTGCCTGTCGATCAGCGTGCACCTCAGAAGAACAGCAGTCAATGCGGATGAGCGGATTGTAGCATGCAGGATTGCAGCCGCATCTCCTGCCAACGAAGGCGATGGTTTGCATTGAGCCCGGATGATGAAGGCCTGGCGTGTTGCCAGAGGCTTCATGCAATGAAGCATGAGCTGCACAGGCCACTTGTCGGCTGGCGAGCATGCCTCAACCTGCACCACCACACTTGGCAATATGACCCCAACAGCTTGCAGAACTGTTCTGAGGTGGGAAGACACCTGCAGGGTCGTCTTTTCGAAGCATGGCTACCAAACCCGCAGCAAGAATCTAAGCAGCTCCTGATGATCCTTGGCGGCCATGCTTGGTGGAACAACCTTTTCGCATCTATTTGCAAAGAGTATGGACCAGGCGAGCCTGCATCTCGCGCATAGCTTTGGAGGCTGCGAGAACTGGTGAGAGTTCTCTGCACGGTAGCCAATCAGCCACTCGTGATGTACAATGCCAGATTTCTTGGTCGATCGAGTCTGCAGATACTGCCTTGATCCCCAGAATACGGCCTTCAGCAGTGCAGCAATCTAGGATGCTTCAGCACACTTGGCATAGCTACGCGTGCGCATAGCTGCATAGCTTATGTTCTGGGAGCGTCCAGGCGGTCTTGACCTCACGAGGGACCAACCCCTTGCCTGGCCCCTGGGTGCAAGCGAGGAAAGCTCTTGGAGAGGGGCAGTTTGCAGTAGACCATGTGCTGAGGCTTGTGGATGGCAAACTGGTTTCCCGAGGCTGGTTCATGCCATTCTTTCACGGTCGTTTGACTATGTGCAAAGCACCGAGGTCAAACGGCAAGCTTGAGAATTGGTTCAGAAATAGCTTTCAAGTACGAGATGCACGCCCGAGACTTAGCAGTGCCCCAGCCAGCTTCAGATCCCATGGTGCAATGGCCAGATTGCCGGACAGATTTTCTGCGACAGTGTCTAAGGTCCTGCTGCTGTTCCGATTTACGGTTCGGTATTCAGCTTCTGCGCTTGCGTCGTCATTCCACCCGAATCCTGTGTGGCAATGGATCTTACAAAGGCGCTCGAAGATTCTCTCCTAACTCCTCAGTGGTGGAAAGCTTGGCTCTGGAGAGGCCAAAGTTGTAGGGCACGCTGCGTATAGGGCACCAAGGTCGGAAAAGTGGTCGGTACAGCTGACAGAAGAAGAGTTGAGATTAGCCGGGGAGCCTGGCAATTGACACAAAAGAAAAGCTTGAATTCTTTTTGACCTTCCACAAGTAGCGCACGCCAATTCACAGGCCCAGCGCGGAGGTGCCACGGCGCTATCAGGCAGCAGTGACCTAGCCCTCACCGATGAGACCAGCTTGTGGTACTCCATCGAATTATCATAGTTTATTACATTGCGGCAGGCGTTCGGCACAAGCTTGGTGTATCAGGGGCCTGCTAGGACTGCGCTTCCAGCCTGTCTGGCACCCTCGGATCCGCAAGCCTCAGCTGCGAGGCGCGCAGTGTCACACTGCAGCCCAGATGAGCTTTGTATGAGTGCCGCGCAAGTGCGACGAAATCATTACACATCAGAAATCCGACGGTGTGGACAAGATGGTCGTTGGCAACAAGCCTTGGCTCTTTTCATCCAACTGGCCCAGAGCAATTTGCAAGCAGACCAGGTTGCTCATGGAGCCTTCATGTTCGCATGCGGGAAAGGCGGTCAGTGGAGAGTAGCCACGACTACCCTTGCTTCGGCACGCATGCAGGCCTTGCAAGATGATATTATTTCCTACAACTCCGCGATAAGCATTTGTGGCCAAGTCTTCGAGTGGGCGGCAGCAGTGTGCCTTTTCCAAGCGATTGAGCCGCGAGAACTTCGCACAGACCGAATCTCGTGCAACTCTGCGATCAGCGCTTGCAGTTGTGCAGATCTATGGGAAGGTGCCCTGCTGTTCATGGAGGAGCTGGAGGGCATCGTGCCCGCAAACGTGATTTCTCATAATTCCGTTGCAAGTGCATGCTCTGAGGCTGGCCATTGGCAGGTTGCAATCTCAATGATTGCGCGGCTAACCTTCAGATGGACAAGGGCAGATGCGATCTCGTACAACTCCTGCATGGACACCTGCAGCAAAGCAAGTGCATGGCAAGTGGCTATGAGCCTACTGGCTTCCTTGCAGCTGAAGCTGCAGGCCAATTTGATATCCTACGTGTCAGCGATTAATGCATGCGACAGAGGCTTCAAATGGGAGATGGCGCTGGCTTTTCCGCAAGAGCTTTTGATCATACGACTTCAAGCGGCCACTATAGCATGGAATGCCTGCATAAGTGCATGCGCACAAGTTCGGTGGCAAGCTGCTTCGGCTCTGTTGTACACAGCGTGCAAATTTCAAGCCAACACGGTCTCGTTCAACTCTGTGATGAGTGCCTGTGGTGAGGCAGGTCATTGGCAAAGAGTCTTTTCAACGCTGTCGATGCTCGGAAGAAGGCATCTCAAGCCTGACACAGTCTCCCTAAACAGCTGCATCATCGCATGCGGTAGAGCAGTCCAATGGCAGATGGCATTGCTCCTGCTCAGCCAGATTGACATTGCAAGGCTTGATGCAAATTCCATCTCATTGTCCTCGGCGATCACGGCCTGTGAGTTGGCATTGAAGTGGCCAATGGCACTCGCTTTGGTCAAGTCGATGGACTCACGTCAATTGCTTGCCAACTTGGTGGTGTTCAATTCGGCTATAAGTGTATGTAGCCAAGCAGGAAGGTGGAAAGAAGCATTCTCTCTCCTCGGGGATGTTCAAACAAGGCAGCTACAGCCAGATCTCGTTTCATACAATTCTGCTATCTGTGCTTGCATGGGTAGCACAATGTGGCTCAGTGCGTTGTGGCTCCTGAGCAGGATGGCAGCAGATCGTATCCAGGCAGATGGAATTTCTTATAACCTGCTAACAATTGCATGTGGGGATGCCGGCCAGTGGCAAATTGCTTTGCTACTCCTTGCACGAATGGACACCAGAAGCATGGCCGTCAAGGGAATTACATTTGAGTCGGTGATCAATTCCTGTATCTGGGCGGGGCAGTGGCCTTTGGCGCTGCTTTTGAAAGAAGTGGTGGATGCCACAGCACGGCAGCTTTTAAGAACACAGGGCGGCGAGCAAAAAGCCCGTTTGCCCTTGATGCAAGTATTGGTGAAGGCCTTTCCGCTCTGAAAGCGCCTGCAAACACACAGGGCACGCCGGATTTCTGCCTGCAAGGCGCACATGGACTTGCAGATGCTGTGGTGAGGTCGCCCGGCTTGTTTTGGCAGTGCACCTGCATGCAGAGGTGTCAGATGTTAGTTTGTAGAAGAGACAGCCGATCAGAAATCAGACTGTCACGAGCATGCATCTCCACGTACGGCGCACGTGTGGTTTGGACACACTCGAGGCTGAACAGCGCCACCGGCGAAGCCTCACAGTTTGGTGCAGACCGCCCCTCAGTTAAGACGGGCTACCAAGGATCAAACACAAATGTGCGTCCCACGGAACTCCAAATCTGGTGGTCCTGTCTGATCTGATCTAGCATGAACATGTTGATTCATTAGCTTTCTTGGCAATGCTTATGTCTAAAGAATCCGGCATGACAATTGGTTTCGTTTTGTTGTCAGATTCGCAAGTACGGATTCCTGTTTCAAAGTGCAGGTCACTATCTCTTCGGGCTCCACCCATCATCTGCTCTACCGCAAGAAACAGAAGGCATCACTGCAATTTTTAGCTGAATCAAGGGCCAGTTTGCCTTGCAAACGTGTGTAGTTAGATTGCGTCACAGAACAACATGAGAAGACCGCATTTACGACTGGTGCTTCGTATTTTGAATTTCCGAAGCACTGCAGCACGCGACATGCTGATGCGACAAGTGACCCTATCGTTTATAGACAAACACGATGTCTGCCTCTGAGGAGGCCACACTGGCACAATGTGGCCTTGGAAACGGCTCCTGCAAAAATACGGCGGTGCGCTCCTCGTTGCCTTCCGGTATTGAGAGAGACTTGCAAAGTTGTGCCACTTTGTCGGTAAGCAGAATCAAGGTCCAGAATGTGCCGGCGTGGACTTTTGCCGTGGAAGCCGGGCTGCCCGAGGCATGCTCCTGCGACTTAGCACTTGATTGTCATGGTCGTCCTCTCTGTAAATGTGAGGCCTCAGGGCCCATGTCTTGTAGCCACTACTTATGAGCTTTCCAGGATGCGCTGGCCTTGGACAGGCATCTATTCCTGAAGACAGCGCTCTTCTTCTAAGCTGCATACAAGCAGAGGCGTTTGCAAGGGCGTGCGAGCGCAGCCAAAGGAAATTACGTGTCGCAGTGGCAGGTCCTCAACACAGTGCAATTGACCGTGATTCGCTCGGATCATGAGACAGGACTTGTCTCTTATAAATGTGTGACACCAACAAGCTTGCAGCATGCAGCTCGTCTTTGTGGGTAGCGAACCAGGATCAAGACACTACCGCCTTTGCCTTCCCATTGCCCTTCCTACAATGCCCCAGCACATGGACTCGACCACTGATTCGGAAGTGTTGGAAACCCTGGTCGAGCCAGTGCCTGTCCGAGGCCAAAGGCTAGCTTGGATTGCATTCGCCATCTCTTTGGCTTTGCTCTTCGTCGGCCTTGTGACCCTGGGATTTCAAGGCAACCTTGACCTGAAGGGTGCACCAGACAAAGTCCTCGGACTCAGCGATGGGAGCTTCGCCTGCGGAGAGATGAAGTGCACGATTGGCTCGGTTTGCTGCGGTGGCTCCGAATGCTGCTCGGCAGGCTCAGGCTGTTGCGGTGGAACATGCCTCGCACCTGGTGGGATTTGCTGCCGCAATCGCACAGATGCGCCTTTGCTGTGCACTCCTGGCACCAACTGCTGCGGCAAGGACACGGACACCGCCCAATGCTGCACTACCGGCTGTGCAGATGGGCCATTTGTGGCATGCAAATTGCCAAAGTAAAGGGCGCCGATGGACGCAAAGCAGGGCAGCTGACGCCCCATCGATGCATGGTGTATGACAACTACAGCTGCAAAGTCTTGATGGCTCCACATTAGATTGCAGTCAAAGCTCTGCGATCCTTCTACAGCAGTAATTCATGTCTGGGCTGCCACTCCTCCGTGGCTGCAGTCGTTGCCCGGCTGCAGCTCGGCACAAGTTTGGGAGCGCAGGCCTGAACTGACTCGATCTCCAGGCAAACAACATCGAGTACCATTCAGTAAGACTAGTGCGCGCCTGCATGATCATTTAGCCAGCCAGATGTAGCAAGACCAACGCATGGTGCTGAAGTCATAGTGTCAAGCTTGAGTCGGATATCTCATGAAGCCTCGACAGGATGCAGGATTCAGGGGCTTCACATCTAGCTCATGCCTTGCCACCGGCAGCTTCCAGCAAAGTGGCGCGTGATAGAAGCCTATGTGTAGGAGGGCAAGGTTTTCAGAATCGGTTTGAAGCATTCAATTTGGACAACATCAATTGCCATTTTCAATCATTGCAGCCCACGCCACACTAGCGAGCACGGTCGCAGGCAAGGCATTGCGTTTACGATTCTTACGGTAACATTCTGGCTGAAGCAGTTGGGCTTGCTCAGTCATTCAGAATATGGCTACGTAGATCCTCTAGAATTCACATGCAGGCAATCAAATCATCCCTGCAGCCGAGCACCTGCAATTTCAGTTGCAGTCGAGCTGAGGACCTGCCCAGTTCCCTGCGAGAAGTGCGCTTGCCCGAAGCTGAGCTGGGCCTGCGGCGTGAAATGGGATTTCCTAAAATTAGGGTTACCATTCTGCGGGTCCTTAAAATAAGGACTATAGTATTTGGGGTTCTATATTGGGGTCCCCTATTCATGGAAACTACCAAATTGCTGTCATTACATGAGCCAACTCGTCAAGGCAGAGTTTGTGTAAAAGTGCAGCCGCATCTATGCCCATTGCATAGATGAGAAACCTTTATCTGGATAACTGAAAATGAATCTTGCGAGAGCACAAAGCTTCAACATGAATTCAGGTAGCAATTTAAATCTGGTACACGCATTATCCGCCGAGCGGTTAACTTGCTGCAACAGTTGGTTTCCGTTGGCTCTGTCTTCTTATCTTCAACACAGGCAGGAGGTCACAAGGGAAAGTCATCCCGAAAGAAAGTCAAATTGAGAACCATATCAGCTTGAATATCCCTTAGCACGATAGTCATTCATTGTGACCTGTTCCTGATGAGAGGATGTGAGGAAACATTCATGTCAAGTGGCAGGCAGCATGGGCGCAATTTCGTGGGACGTCATTACCAGCAGCATTTGTTCGAGGCTCACTGGGGCCACTGAAAATGGCTACGAGATGCAGTCAACCTGCTTGGAGCCGTGGCAGGCCCTGCTTCGTCCGCTCGAGCGATTGAACGTTTCGTTGGCACCCAGCGCAGGAGCTGATTTCGATAGAGCTTTATTGATGCAAACATGCAAACCTAGGGGCTGCCACCTTTGCCTGGATGTGTCGGAGCACTCTGCGCTGGTAACCAACCTCAGCCCGCATCTTGGGATCTGCACTGACAGACCAAAAAACATTGGATCCTGCATCCAAAAGGCTCAACCCTTGAATTTTTTGTCGAGAAGGACTTGAGCATGCAAACGTTGCTCACCCAGCTTGTACCATCCAGGAGCATGTGCCCAAAGATCGGAGTGCTCAGCTTCAAGACGGGCAGGTCACGGGCTTTGAAGCCATGGTCAGACTACAGTATCTTTTGGTTTGGTGGAAGCAGGAGCTATTGTGCTACCTCAGCTTCCTGATTTGCCAGGTGCTGAGCTTTGCCAAGAGGAATGGCGCTGAGCCCCGTGGCCAAAATGGCACACATTGCCACGACAAGGATGGCTGTAAGTAGGCCTCACCTGTTTTTCATTGCAGTTAAGTAGCCGCAGTTCGGTGCAGCCGATCCCAGCCGGACTGTGGTGAGACGGATGATAATGTTTCCATGCAGAGAACATTTGCATCCTAGTTAACACTGCACAAAGGTTTTCCCGGCTCCTGGATTTCCAGGCCAGGACGCGTTCACCTCATTGCAGTGCAGCTTTTCGGAAGGTTCACTGCAGTTGGACACTAGCACCATGAGCTTGTCCATGCCTACATTTGCAGGTGAAGGGGCGAGCCACTGCGCGATACAACTCCAGGTACGTCCCTCGAATTAGTCCAGTGTGCATTTGCAGTATATCGTAAGCAACATCAGCTATCAGACCCGGACTTGCCAGACTTGCTACGAGTCCTGAGTTTGAAATGGGTCATTCAGGAAATGTCTTCTGTAAGACCTTTGCAACTTCAGCATAGGATGAGTGCTTGAAACAATCCTGGCAAGGGCAATGATGGAGCTGGCGCTTATCGTGATGGGTAGCAAGACTTACACCTGTGCCACTAGCAGAAATCACGGAAAGGCAAGTGGCAGCAGAATCAGCTTAGCATTGGTGACAGGTATTTGCCCTCAAAACGTCCTGTTCAGACTTGCTGCCTCTGGCACGGCTGCCCTTCCAAAGCCAACTAGATGTGGGTCACCAATCTCAGGCTTGGCTCCGTCGCCGAAACGGCCTCAGACATGCGCCAGATTCCGCATAGCTCCTGGCCTCATGTGCGTTCTCAATTCCAGGCTGACGGAGCTGCTGAGCCACAAGCCAAGGGGGAGCGCATGTCATGTTTTAAACCACACACATGCTGACCTTGAGTAGGGAGCTAGTGTAAGGTGGCTCGCATGGAGCATCCGCAGCGCATGCATCAACTTGAACCTTTGATTCCACCCAGGGTCAGTGTGTGCACTGTACATGCACATGCAGACTAGGTATCAATACTGTAGGTGGTAGTACGGAAGTGTTCTAGCGGGCATGCTCCTGCAGCGCATTTCATGTCTCCGGCCTACCGCTGCAGCCGCACAAATGCTTCCAGGCGTGAGGTATAGTAGGTGCCCTTGCCTGCCAAATCACAAAAGCTGCCAAAGAAACTCGCTCACAAGCAGCCGAAGGCTCCGCCAAAGGCGCAGCCAAAAAGTTACCGCAGCTCACCAGCCATGCCATGTCTTTCTTTCCCGAAGAACGTGGAAACCCAACCAGCGACTTCAGCCAGTCCCGGTCCAGGGCTGATTTCTCAGTGGCGAGAACAGCTGAGAATCGCCTTCGAAACGGCAGAAGAGAGGCGTTTGAAGCGATTGAAATTTCTATCGATTCTATCACATGAGGCAGGCCGCGAAATCACTGAGGCAAACGAACAGCTGAGCGTCAACAAAAGCTGGCTTGATCGCGAGCCCCATTTGGTCGAGTTGCAGCCAGACATGTTTTCCAGTTCCGTTGAGTTCTCCGAGCGGATCGACAAGAACCTGTGTGAGATCCAACGCATGGTTGAGGACCAGGGTGCAGGACTCGGTGAAACTGAATGGTTTAGCTGGGTTGACGGAACGCTCGCCATATTCGTTGAGAGCCAGCGACCCAAACTGGATGCCGCCTCCCTGCCGTTGGCGAACCTGCGTGGTGCCAAACTCGCTGGTGCTAGTATGATCGGAGCTAATCTGCAAGGGGCCGACCTTGAAACGGCTGATCTTCGCTGTGCCGACCTTCGAGGGGCCAACCTTGCGCTGGCCAACCTGGCGCATGCGGATCTGCGAGGGGCCCTGCTTGGCCCGCCGCCAGCAGAATACAAACTGGAATCCGCTGATCTGCGAGGTGCCAACCTTTCAGAAGCGCAACTCGCATTTGCCTGGTGTTGGGGGTTTGAGTTGAGCGGATGTGAAATCAATAGTTCCTGCTTGGATGGTGCTTACATGGCAGAGGCAGGCATGACAGGCATGCGTTTGCTTTTCTGCAGCGTGGAAAAAGTGAACCTGGCAAGGGCGCGGATGCAGCACACGCGTCTAATGAACTGCCGGTTCAACGGTGCCAAATTCCAATCAGCAGACCTGAGCCATGTCGTCATTGAAGAAGACTTGTGGTTTGCAGGTGGGGAGTTGGATGGTGCAACCTGGGAGCTTTCAGGTGCTCCACGACTGGGGAATGTGATCGTGGAAGGCAACAAATTTGGAGCTCCATCGAAGCCGAAAGGCAGACCCAAGACTGGAAATTTGCGACGCTTGGTCACAATGCTGTTTTTCGGTGATGGAGATGAGGAAGAAGAGGATGACGAGGATGACGAGGATGAGGAAGACGAGATGGAACAGGCGGGGAATCAGGAAGAGGAGCAAAGCAAAGAAGTGAGTGAAGACCAGGAAGGCAAAAATGAGGACGGCGGCTGCAGCATGCCCTTGATGGACACGGTGATTGAAGATGTTGTCGTCACTGCGGCAGACCATGCAGAGGCAATAGCGGCCCAGAAACTACAAGCGGCAGTTGAGAGGGCGAAAGCCCAGATAGCCAAGCTCATCCAGCTAGCAGATGATGTTGCCAAGCCCCAGGCGGAGGCTTTGCAGAAACTTCTGGTCAGCAAAACATTTTTGAAATTGTCGAAGCTGAAACCGGAGACCATGACCAAAATCGCAGAGCTTGTCTCTTCCACAAAGTCAGGGCAAAAGGTTTCAAAGGTGATGGAACATGTGAGGAATCAGTTGAAGTCCGTTCAGCACTCTGGTGTTGCTCCTCTGCTGCGCAATTTGGCCGACTCTCAACTCTCAGCCCGGACAGGCTATTCCTCGGGTCAGCTTCTCCGCATCTTCCGTGTCTCTGCCATTCAAATGGCTCGGGATGTACGAGAGCTCCAAAAGCTGCAGACCTATCTAGACAAGCTTCAAGAGACAGTTAACGAAAACAATTGGGACGATGTAACCGCGAGCTTCACCTATTTCTATGCCCTGCAGGCCCACCTGCAAGGCGAACGATCCCAGCAAGTCTTTCAGCTCATTTGGAAGGAGGAGCTCTTCCGGAGCTGGATTATGGTAGCTGACCTCTTTGCGCAGGTGGTGCCGGTGAACCATCCGCCAGCGGCCATCATTCACAATGTCAAGAATGCTGTGAAGTACATAAAGGAGCATGCTGAGACCTGGGAGAAGGCCATCGCCAAAGAAACAGCTGCCATTGAACTCACCCGCACTCGTCAATCGCAATTCTTCGCGCTGCTGGTATCGGCCATTTCTGGACTTTTTATGTACATAGCCACATTTCTGTCCAGTGTCACCTTCCAAGCATATCAAGATGGGAGGCTGAGAATCCCATACCTTTCAGGTTAGCCATGCTTGGAAATCCGTCAGACCACACATTTCACTGACCGTTTTAAAGGCAAAAACAAGCTGTAAAATTGCACCTCAAGAGGAGGGGCACAAATGCTTCATCAGTTGGAGCTTTCCATGCAGCGGCGCCCTGAAAAGGACAACGCTTGTCAACCTCGTGCCATCCATTTCGGCTGCGTTAAATGAGCGCATCAGCAGAAGGTCATGTCCTGGCTGCAGGTCCACAGCAGACCACGCCTGGCACGCAGACGGTGGGTAGCTCAACCTGTACAGTACTCTGGAATAATATCCACACGTTAGCAGAAGTCATGAGGAATCATAATTAAGGCTGTCCTATCATGGGACCTCAATTTGGCATTCCAAGGCTCATCGCAGCCTACCGCGAGGTCAGAACCACTTCAACTAATCTCCTCATGAACATGAAGCGGCGTTCCTACTCGCAGCTTCTTGGTATCAAAAATGCAGGCTGCTTGTTGCCAGCACGTGCCAGGCTCTCTTCACAAGGCCAGCCGCAAGACTGTCAGAGTCACGTATGTTTTGCCTACCCGGTCTCATTCAGTAGTTGATCTTGTCTTGAAGATTGCATATAAAGTGGGACAACTCCCAGGTAACGGCAACACATAATTCTTTGGAGGACTGTCCACTGGCAAGATGCTGGAGGGAGAGGCCATGTGCTCAAACATCAGTCTCTGGATGAGGTTGGAGGGAGGTTCTGGCATGTGCGCACGCAGCCGCAGTGGCAGAATCAGAGCATGCTTGGGAGCATGGAAAGGCTGGCAAGGCGCATTGTGGCGAAGTATTTGCAGAGGACTTCGGAGAGAGATGTGGTGTACATGCTGTACAGGGTGATGCTCCTCAGTCTGATTCGGATGAAATGTGCAAAGGATCCTGGAGCCAGCACATCTCCAGCAGTGATCCTTGAGCTGAGCGGCGCAGGGACAAAGGACTCAGTGGCCACATGAGCCATAGTCTAAACTCCTCAAAGGGGGTTACATACGGGACTACTATAGGGGTTAGAAAGGGGGATATTAGGAGTTCAGATTATAACTCACATGCGTATGCCACAAGCCCGGTGTTGGAAGCGCATCATCACGTGCAGAACTGGTGTTGATCAGTGCTTGATGTAAGTAACAACGCCAGAACGAGAAAGGACTTGCCGGTTGAGAAGAGGCGACTGGGGCCGATGACGTTGAGGCTGCAGATGCACAAACAAGATGAAGGAATGCGTTGGCCATTGTTTCGGGGGGGAGAATGTCGGTAACCGATCTCAGAAAAGCATGCATGCACAAAGCTCATGGCTTCACAGAGCCAGCATGTTTGCCGGTATTCAGAATGTTCCTGCCCACCTGGCTCCTGATAGTCAACATTGGGAATAGAGGTGGCTTGCGCAGACAACAGGCTTTGCATTACACGCACGAATGCCAGCATGCAACTGTGAACCAAGGGTTCCAAGTGTCTGCTGCAACAAGATGCCAACAGGCTGTAGCTGAGATCCCTGACCCCTCAAGCCAGGAAGGGGCCCTGGATCATGGGCCGCCGCCATCAGCGTGAGTTTCTGCATCTCGGACCAACCTCTGTTCCATGACGGTCGTTCATTCGTCCCAGTCCTGGGTGCCCACGTGCTTCTCCCCTGTGTGTAAACGTGACAACTTGTTTTGGTTTGTCTTCACGGACTACCGCGGTCTCGTACAAACGGACCATGTCTTTGCCCAACTGCAAGGCAGACCGTCGTGAAGGAGGAATGCATCGATTTCGTAAGTCGCGACTTGGAGCTTGAGTTGGCAAAGGTCACGGGTGCCTGGGAGATCCGCTCGGCTTGCAACCGCCATCCGAGGCGACCACTTCGCAATTGCTTTTGAAGATGATGCATTCTTTCTCCTGGCCCTGTCGCAAAACCGGATCTGGTTGGACAGCAGCAAGACACTGAGCACCAGGAGCGCAGACAATCTTCTAAGACTTATCCACTTCGTTTACAGTAGCACAAATGCTTTCACAGCTTCCACTGCCACCGGATCTCCGGGCCGTTCAGGAGTCTCCAGCGCGACGAAATGCAGCAGTTACGGCCCGGCGACCACATCCTTCTTGGTACCAGTGAGGCTGATTTGCAATGCCCAGGTTGGCTGTTCCTGCATAGCTTGTGGCTGCCAGGCGGGAACCGCAGACTCGCTGAGGCCGGATTTGATTTACCGATGTCAGAACGGCGCCCAGCGGGGATCATCTTCGTACGGCTTAGTAGGGCAATGAGCACTGGCCAAGCAATATCTGCTCAACGTGGTCATCATCCCTTACAAGACAACATGCGGCCCCGACGGCTGTTAGTTGCCTGGTCAGGGATACACGGAAGGCTTGTCAGGACAATGCCCTGAAATTGTAACATCAGGCGTCTGAGGTGGGGTGAGCTTTGGGTGGGGCCTGGGAAGTCTAGGATGGGGTCTATGGCGGGCTGGGGGAGTGGGGTTGGGGGGGATTCGGTTCGTGTTGGCTTGTGTTCTGTATTAGGCTTCGTGGGCTTCAAAATCATGTCCTTCAAAACGTAAACGACCATAAAGTTGCCCCTGGCAACAGAGCCAGCACTGTGCAGGGATTGGATTGCCAAATTTATGGAGAGCGTGTGTGTCTGATCCAAGGATTCCCCCTCGGCAGAGCACACAGACAAAGAATGACATCTGACAAGATCCCATCACACCACATTGCTGTTGTGACGTGTGTTCATCGCACATGTAGTTTCTCCCAGAGATTTGGAAATAGTACCATGTGCAGACAACTGTGGACAGGTTGTGCTGGCGCTTCAAACTTGCAGAGCCTGAATCCATTTCCTGATCGTCTTTGAGTCCTAGGATAGGAGCGGAGCAAGAAGTTCCATTGCACGTTCCCAGCGGAACGAGTCGCCGCACAGACCAGCTAATGCCATTTTCTTGTCGGTTGGATGCCAAAGCAGCACTGAGGAGAAAGACTACACCTAGCATGCTTCCTGAATATTACGGAAACTGGTGGAAGGAAAACTATTATTGGACCTAGGGAAAGCGGGCAGGCAGCTGCCTTGAATCCTAGACATCTACCAGATGAGTGAAGTGGTATGCCTCCAAAGAATCCGAAGTTGGGGCAGGGAGCCGTTTTGAGGCTCAGAATATCAGAGCTGAATTATTCCGTAAATTATTCTTCATTGCTTTACATAAATTCTAGGACCTTTGATGAGAGGGAGCTTCGGATAAGAAGCATATTTACGACCAACTAGAGTGGAAGATTTAGATCTTTTTGAAATTTTTTTATCAGAAGAATTAATATATAATGAAATATATTATTTTCCCATAATATTTCTCATTCCTTTCCAATATTTTATCTAAAGCAGAATATGTTATTGATTTATTTCGAAGAAGGATGCAAACTAGAGATCATTTTCGCTCTGACGCTCTGATATAAGTCCGGTTGGCTGGCTTTTTTTCTTGATCTCGTAAATGGGGAAATAGATTGAATTCAAATATTTTGGTTTTTCTAGTGATTTCGATAAAAGAATCTTATTTTAAATTTATGGGTTTGGGGTTTGGTGCGATCGGGTTTAGGGGTCTTGAGGATTTAGATTTTAATCTCGCACCCTGCACCCGATTACGCCGGATTTTAAAGTCATATTAATTATAATTTACATTTATATTCATTATATTGATATCGACTTTCGATAATTTTCTATCGATAGATTTAATTTCTTATTCTTTATTGTCTTATTATTTCACGATTATTCTATAGATTTTATTATTTATTATAATATATATTTATAGATAAAATATAATTATAAAGAAAAATCTAATTTAATAGATATTAATAATATGTACTAGAAACTAATTAAGAATTTATTATTTTTATTAAGGAATTAAAATAAATATGGGAGATATTTCTTTTTCAGGAATTTTCAAATAAAAGATAATAAAAAGGAATTTGAAATTATTGTGATGCTAGCTATATTATCAAAGAAATATTATATAAAGAAAATTTATTATAAGATATTATTTGATTTTTTTTTATTGGAAATATTTATTTGATGGTTTTTTATGGGAAAAGAATTTATTTGTTGGAGAGATACTAATTCATTAATCGCTCCAATATAGAAAATATTTTTCTTAATATATTCTGGATATAGGAATAGGATTTCGCCGAATTTTTATATTTTGGAATGATTACTAAAATCTTTGATTGGATTTAGTGCGTTGGAATCTTGAAATCTAGGATTTCGATAAATTATCTCTGAAGGATCTCTACTTCGGAAAATTTGGATTATAATATGGTCGTTGATTTCTGGTTCTATAATTGAATGAAAAAAAATATTTGATTAGGAGACGAAATTTCGTCTATCTTAAAAATCGATAAAATTCTAGATATTTTTGTAGATGCTAATAGATAAGAGATGAAATTTATTTAAATATATATATTTCTAATTGATATATCTGCTTATAAATAGAAGCTTTAAAATTATTAGGTTAGAATGATATAAATAAGATATATATCGAATTATTGATCAGCAAATTTATCTTATTTCTTGATTTTGGAAGCTAATCTAATGATTATGGAAAATCTATTTCTCGATTTTTTTTATAATCGTATAATGAGATTCTATGAATTGATAGAGGCAGGCTATTCTATTAAATTCATGATATTTTCTGAATTTCTATATATAAAAATTGATATGACGATTAAGGATTTGATAGTATTTTTTCTATTAGTAAGAAATATTTCTGGTTTAAATTTGATTAGGCAGCGGAATATTAAAAAAAAGATGATGAAATTCAATAAGATCATTGAAATTTCTCAGCGGCTTTGAGATAAACGGAATTTTCATGAGCTCTAAATTTCTTTATTTATAGAATTAGATGATCTTATTATTTCTTTCTCGATTCGGGGAGGGAAGAAGATTCGTTTAGAGCTAAATTATGAAACGTAATTCGGATATATATTATTCCTGGCAAATAGGAAGCTAGTATTCGTATGATATCGTTATCTATATCTTGCGGTCGATATCTATTTGAAGATTCGCCTAAAATACGTCCGCTATAGATATGGCGTATCCGGCACGGAATCTATAAAATAAGTAGATAGCAAGGTCTTCTGAATTCGTCGATATCGTGGCATTCTCCTCAACTCTCAAAATTATTGAATTAAAAGATGATCCGATTTCTATATCTATAATGAGATATATCGGCATCAAAGAGCTTTGCTCCGCAAAGAAGGATCTATAAAATAAATAGATAGCAAGGTCTTCCGAATTCGTCGATATCGTGGCGTTCTCCTCAGCTCTCAAAATTATTGAATTAAAAGATAATCCGATTTCTATATCTATAATGAGCTATATCGGCATCAAAGAGCTTTGCTCCGCAAAGAAGGAGGCCGTCGTCTAAACGCACGCTATTCTTTCATGAATCATTTGGAGATCATACGGACTCGTCATTCTATGATCTCGAGATCCTTCTGGACTTTCAGCCGCCTGACAAGATTTCTGATAAGCAAAACGTTATCTGAACTCAACGACGGGATAATATGATAAAATTATTGAAGAAAGAATATTTTATTTATTATTGCACGAATTATATAATATAGTGGTCAAAAATATGGGTCCTCGAATTTTCGATTATTTCATGAGCCTGCCTCCCGTCGCATTGACGTTGATCTGAAATTTATAATATTCTCAAAGAAATTAGATTTATATTCTAGGATTTCTTGATGGGATTTTGGGATTTTTTGGAGACCTCGCAATCCAAATATATAAGTCCAGAAGGGGATCCTATTGAGACTAATAGGTTTTTCAAATATTATCCAGTCAGGATCCTGCCAAAGGAGATTATCTCTGGATCAATCAACTATTACGCGGCTATTTTCAGATAATTTCTCCTCTGCAAGGCCTATTGCAAATCTGATGATTTTATAGATTCGGATTTGATATTTCTTTAGCTTATGACGATACGAAGATCTATATTTATAGATATTCATCTATTATCAGGGCGTATATTCTATATATTGAATAGATCTATATATATTGGAATTTCTCATTTGATTTGGCCTTTTACTTGATCTATATAGAAAATATTGATCAGATCCAAAAGAGCTTTCTCTAATCTAAGGCAATCAATTTCATATATTTTACTAATAAATCTATCAGCATTTCTGATGCCGATTTCGAATTCTATTGAAGGACTAGGGATTAGACCTATAGGCGAAGGGGATGGCATTGGAGCCAGGCTAATAGGCGTAGGGGAAGGGCAAGGATTTATTGCGAATTTTCGGCCGTCTTATCAGCACGGATGAGGTCGTCAAATCGTATATTGAACGCAGGAGAACGAATGATAGATTCTCCTTGACAAGCCTTATAATCTGGAATCTCCCTATGATTAATTAGACGGCCTAAGGCGATCTCATATCTCTTCATAAAATCAGAATTGAGGCTAAATTCATTGAATATCGCCTCTAATCTATTTATATCCGAGAATTTAGGCTCCGCAAATCTCTCAATGATATATTTGAAAATAGAATATATAGAGAAAATTTCTACGTCTTGAGAGGCAAATAATTCTTCGAAAGACGTAGAGATGATTAAATTGACTCCTTCAATTCCTATCTTGATCTTTTTATAATCAATCACGGCTTATATTCCTTGAAAGAATTCGGGATCTCAATCTAAATTCCAAGGATCAAATTTCTCGTCATATTTGGGATCAATCCTGCAATAAATTAATTGGTCGAATAGTAATAATATCCAGGGAATTCTTCCCTGGACGCTTCGCGGTCCGATACGTTATTTTTGAGATTCAAGGCGAAGAAATCGAATATTGCCGAATGAATCCAGAGAGCGGGTCTAATTGCAAAGTTGGTCTGTAAATATACGATTCGCATACTTTCTTGGATAGATCTGATATCTCTTTCTAGCAGGGAATTATGAGGTCGATTGACCAAATTGGGTTCGGACGTCCAGGCTGCCTGTTGACAGCTTGCCTCGAACTCTTTGACGTTATCAATCTTAAATATGATCATTGATTTCTCGTCTGCGTAATTTCCGTCAAATTATAGCAATATTCTAGATCTCCTTATCAAGGAAAAGGATCGAAGGAAATCGGAAGATCTATCGCGGATGACGAATAATCTAGATTCGTATTCATCTTTAGAGGATTCTTCAAATATTATTATGATATCTATTGCTAGATATTCTCCGAATTTCGTTATTTCAGGAAATATGCTACGATCATATAGCGGATCGTATCTCATTCGATCAATCATATATATATATGAATATTTGAATATATTTTATTTATTGGATTCTTCAAAAATATATAAATTTGATTCTATATTTACCGCTTCCCTGATTAATCTTATTTCCTTATCAGCTGAGATTTCATCTGCGTATTCTGAATCGATTGGAATTTCAGGAAATATAATGGATTCGGATTCCATTATCGTCCTCATATCTTATGATGATGATGATGCGATTTCAATTGGAAGAATAAAATTGATCATTTCTTTGAGAATTGATCTATTTCTATCAAATCGCGATAGATATACGATATTTTGAGAACTAAATTGGATATGATCATATTGATCAGATATTATTAAAGAGATATCAGATAGAAAATATGAAAGAGAATTCGAGAATCAAATAAAGAGACGACTAGGATGATTATCAAATTCATCTCTTGAACGCGCAATAGGATAATCCGCCATGAAATATGATAATGATTCGCCAAATTTGGATCCAAATCTGCGGATGATCTCGTTTACGGAGAAATCTATTTTTGATTATAATATTGATTCTATTGGATGGTTATAATGCCGACGCGTAATCCAAT